TTTGTCAGTTTTAACGTAAATCCTTAGCATGAAAGTAAGAGGGATTACTTACTGGAGTGTGGTTTTAGAATTAAGAAGGGTGTATTCACAGTTATTAGAATGCAGGTGGAAAGGTTTATGTAGGTACTTAGTGGACTGCTGGCAATCTCATATCATCATTAAGAGACACCCACCTGTCAATTTTGAGAACCATCCACGTGAACCTCAAAATTGGACACAGAAGTGACATAGATCCTCATTCAGTAAAGCAGCACTAACCCTCCCCTTTACGCCCTTGAAGTGTGCACAAAGCTGATATTAGACTCACTGGCATCATCCAAAGGTCACTTCTTTGGAAGCTGAAATCCAAAATTATTTTCAAGTGATCAGCAAACTAAATTTATGCTGTGAAGGAAGCTCATACAAAAAGAGAAAGGGTAGCATTTGGAAGCTAGAGAGAGAGGGAATTAGACAAAACTCAAAATTAGAGCCATTTGAACACTGGATAAAATTAAAATGCATTATTCATGAAATACATTATCTGATAAATAGCTTCCAACTAGCTCTACACAAAATAAAGATCTATGATCCATCCCCTTAGGAGCATTGTGCCAGTACTTAATAGCACTTATCTAGCACTTTTCATCCTCAGACCTCAAAGGGTTTTCCAACATACATATGGGGAAACAGATACTGAGAGGGTAATTGACTTACCAACTGTAACAAAGCAGGTCAGTAGCAAAGCTAGGAGGAAAACCCAGGTTTCCTGACATACTGTTTGTGCGCTATGGACTAGGCAGCACTGCCTCCTGAATTCTGCACATAAAGGAGTCCCATCAGACTCTCTTGTTCACCCTGGAACTTGCCTCATGCCTTTTTAAAATCAAATAATCACCTTTTAAATAAATTTGCTCCATCTGTTCTTCCCCCTGAGCCACACTGGGCTCTTTTCAGCCACGGTCTCATTTCATGTTGTCCCCAGACTCCTTTTCCAGCAGACCCAAGAGCTTCATTCTCCTGTCTGTACAGCTTTGGCTTCTGTTGAAAAAGTGGAACGGTAAACACTGACACACAAGGGGTTTTTTTTCCAAACATTTTTTTTTAATTCTAAAAAAATAAATTAAAATACACAATAATTTTCCCTTTTTGGTTTCAAAAATGTGATTTTTTAAATAATGTTCCTTTCGTCCCTTTCTTTAAGTTCTGAAAACCAAAAATAAAATATAAAATTATCACCTTTCTTGGGCTTTTGTGTAGAGCAGGGGTGCTGAGGGCTGGGTTAGGTTGGGGGTGGGGGGAATGTATGCTGTGGATGGAGAGGGTGGGTGGGATTCTCTTTTGGGGGCTGGAGAATATTTTTTGTTCTTGCATTTGTTGTTTATGTCGATTTGAATTTTTAATGCATGTCCAGGGCATCTTCAGCTTTCAGAAAAATGCTTCTAGGTCTGTTCTTAAGGCTTGTCGTGAATAATAGCACCAAGTGTTTCCTTTGAAACAGCTGCTTCTGGCCTCTGCTGGATTTAGGATACTGCACAAGATGGACCATTGGTCTGATCCAGTAGGGCAATCTCTGTGTTCCAATATACAGTTCACGTCACACGTACATTGATATGTGGCAGTATACGGGTAAAGACAAGTAACAACATAACAGTCTCCTCTAATTATTGGGGAGGTAGCACAGAATCTAATATGGGGCACTAGATTTCTGCAACAAAGTAAAAATATTAAAGCTGACTGCAATGACCTGATTCAAATCCTTAAGCTATTCAAACTGCACACACTAATGAAACACACGCAATGTATTCTCTAGCCTTCCAACAGGGGCGGTTCTATGTTTTTTGCCGCCCCAAGCACGGCAGGCAGGCGGCTTTTGGCGGCGCACCTGCGGACGGTCCGCTGGTCACGCGGATTTGGCGGCATGCCTGCGGGAGGTCCGCCAGTGCCGCGCCATCGGCGTCCCTGCCGCCGAATTGCTGCCGAATCCGCGGGACCGGCGGACCTCCCACAGGCACGTCGCCGAAAGCCGCCTGCCTGCCGCCCTCACCGCGACCGGCAGGCCTCCCCCGCGGCTTGCCGCCCCAGGCCCGCGCTTGCTGCACTGGTGCCTGGAGCCGCCCCTGCCTGCCAAGTACCACTTAGACTACTCATAGCTCCTGTTATCTAGCCTCCACGTGATGGCACAGCTACCATTGTGGATGCATCGTGCAGCAAGCTCAGAATCTCTGCCGCTGCGTTAGCCAGCTCCATGCATTGACCGTGGACATGTCAGGCGGTGTCTGCCTCCTCGTTGTGCACGTTGACAGAGCACACACGTGGCACAAGGGCTGGACTAGCACTGGCTCTTGCGACTGAAACATCTCCTTGGTCAGAACAGTGATTGTTGGTAGCTGTCACATCCAACTCTGCATGCGCCTGAGAAGGTTCCGTAAATGGCTCAGACAGATGTGCTTTGACCTCATCTTGAGCCCCGTGGAAGAAATATTTCCCAATATTTCACCTGGGAAGGGGCCAGATGAATATGCACACATGATAAATGGCAAGAAACTCACATTTGTAGATGACATGACAGAAGGTTTGATGATGACGGAAATGGTGGATTATAGTTAAAAATACATTACAGGACTTTTCTGCTGCTTTTGAACACAACTGTCCTTTTCCTTGAACATGTGCAGCTCTGTTCTTTTCCTTACTTTTAATATCTAGTTTTGCTGGCGTACATTCAGCTCCTCCAATGCCAACTCCTCAGTCTTCCTCCAGAAAATGTCTCTGGTACTCCATGCACTGGGGGTTATAGTGGATCACAAATTGAACATGAGTCAAAAATGTGATGCAGTCAATAAAAAGGCTAATGTCATTCTGGGGTGTATTAACAGGAGTATCATATGTAAAACATGAGAGGTAATTGCCCCACTCTACTCAGCACTGGTGAGGCCTCAGCTGGAGTATTATCTAATTGGGGTTGCCACGCTTTAAGAAAGATGTGGACAAATTAGAGAGTCCAGAGAAAAGCAACAAAAATGATAAAAGGTTTAGAAAAGTTGACCTGTAAGGAAAGGTTTTTTTTAAAAATGGGTATGTTTTGAAAAAAGAAAATTGAGGAAGGAATTAAGTTTTCAAATAAAGAGGATAGTGATCAATTGTTCTCCATCTCTCTTGAAGATAGGACAAGACATAACTGGCTTAGTTTGCAGCAAGGGAAATTTGGGTTGGATATTAGAAAAAACTTTCTAACTATAAGGATATTCAATCTTCCAAGGGAAAATATGGAATCCCCATCCTTCTTTAAGAACAGGTTAAAGAAATACCTGTCAGGGGTAATCTAGGTTTACTTGTTCTTGCCTCAGCACAGGGGCCTGGACTAGATGACCTCTTGAGGTCCCTTCCAGCCCTACATTTCCTTGATTCTATGATCATCTGTTGTACAAGGAAAAAGTTAATTCAGCTCTGAGAATTCCTCTTAAATTCTATTGGCTCACAATGTGGAGAATATTTCAGAAGTTTCTGAACAAACAGAGAAAGGGAAAAGCAACATGTTGCTAAAGAGACTCCTATCCTATCCTATCTCCTAGAACTGGAAGGGACCTTGAAAGGTCATCGAGTCCAGCCCCTTGCCTTCACTAGCAGGACTAAGTACTGATTTTTGCCCCAGATCCCTAAGTGGCCCCCTCAAGGATTGAACTCACAACCCTGGGTTTAGCAGGCCAATGCTCAAACCACTGAGCTATCCCTCCCCCCTTATAGTGTTGGTGTGAGATTTCCCCCAGAAAGGGTTCGGAGAGAGTGAAACTCTCAGGGACCCCCAAACCCAGCATTTGCTGGGTCTTGACAGATTTACCACTCCATGGAAAGCTGGTTCTATTTGAATGGATATGATGTCAGCTCCATAACATGAGTGTGGATGCCGGGTGTCGGGAGAGTTAACGGCACAAATAGGCTTCGATAAGGAATACATGAGCATTATCACAGAAGCGTAAGTAAGGCACTGAGTGGGAAAGTGAATCACTTTAATGGAAGCTGGGCTGTGATAACCCCACAGCATGTGAGAAAGTGCCAAGTGTGGGCAGGGTTGCCACACAATCGGTGATTGGGCTTTAGCATGCTGAATTAGATAGAAGCCAGACAGCACCCAAGCATGCGTACCTGCCACCCTAATGGTATAGGGATCAACAGTCTAAGCACTTTCTGGTGCTCCCATTTATGTACATAGCCTATGATGCAGGGAATTTCAGCAGTAGGAATGGAGATATTCTGTGTCCTTATTGAGAGTTGCAGCAGTGAAAAAGAAAACGATTAGCACAGAAAAAAAGTAAAATGACACTGTAAGATGAACAAGCCCTTAAGGCCAGTCCTGGCCTAAATCTAACAGAATGTATAGAAGAGAATGGACCAAGTATCTATTCCCCCCATGCTATATGTTAACATTCAGTTATCCAGCTGCCCCCTGCTGTGCAAGCAAGGTATAACACTGCATGGTGCAGGAATTCTATCGCAAAGGAGAGAAAGTTTACAGGACTTCTCAAACCATGATTGTATAGGCCAGTGCTGTCAGACATGCCATGGAATGACAGTGCAATTAAAACATCTAGGTGCTAGGTGTTCAATAAGCAGAAAATGCACCCTGAATTTGGTAACTTTTGTACTCTTATTTTAGAAGCCACAAAGTGTCTTACAGAAAAATCAAAGAAAGCCAGTCTAATTTTGTAAGAACTCGGTTTTGCAGTATTAAGTAATTGACTCTAGATTTTTAGGTGTAACATGTTGCAAGAGTTGTTCCGGTGAGCACGGACTATCAAAGTGCAGATTCACATAAAACCTACACATGCTGCTAGTGTGTAAATTAAAGTTGCCCTCAGGTAAAGACACAGAAAACTCATGTAAATGATGCATGCAGCATTTATGAATTGGGCCCTCTGTAACTGGCAATGGACTGTGTACTGTTCAAAATGAAAATAATTGATACAAACTCAAAATCATTTTATGCTATCTTAAAAAAAAACCTTCATGCCTGATTGTCTTTCCAGAATCAATATTATGGATGATGGAAGCCTCCGAATTGTCAATGTCACTAAGGCAGATGCTGGAAGTTATTCCTGTGTAGCAACAAATCATTTTGGTACCGCTAGCAGCACCGGAAGTTTGGTGGTGAAAGGTAACGACAGCCCTTATTACCCATCGCTGATATCTCTGTCTTAATCTCTAATAGAGAAAGAAGAAGCCACACATGTTCCACGCTTTTTAATTTCTCTGAACCTGAGTGGTACTGAATCTCAGCAGCTCCCGCTGAAGTCAATGGGAGCTGTTGCCAAACATCCCCTTCTGCTGAAAGGCTCTATGGAGTATACAGAGATTGCTGATTCTCAAATATCAAAGCTTACCTAATGCCGTTAAGTATCACTGAGGCCAAAGATATGTTAACAGGAAAATCTGTTTGATGTCTTGAATAATATTTATAGCAAGTTGGTACTATGTTTTGTAATATATATAAGATTAAACTGAATGAAATATAGGAACATAAGAATTGCTGCACTGGATCGGATGAATGGTCCATTAAGTCCACTTTCCTGCCTCTGACAGTCACCAGCACTAGACCCTTCAGAAGAAGTTGCCTCCCTAATGACTAATTATGAACAGTTATGCACTGTGGCCCTGATCCAGCAAAGTTTTTGAACTACATGCTTAACTTAAAATCCATTAAAGTCAGACTATCCCTGGAGGAATTTTTTTTACCCTAGGCAGTTAATGGCTAGTTTATGTCCTTTAAAAATGATTATCTAATCTAATGCATCTGCAGATGTCTAATCCTTTTAAAAGTCCTGGTAAACTCTTAATACATGCAGGTTTACAAAATAATATGCAACTTTTGCCCTTGCAATACAGCTTTTTATTTTCCAAAATATAATCAGTGTGTTATTGAACACTATTTAATAATTCTTGCCACTGGGTGATATTCTTTATACATCCCATGAATCCCAAGTGTATGCCCAGAAATTCTCTCTCAACAAATTTTTTTTAAAAAGTAAACATAAAATGTTTGACCAAGGATTTAAAGTTCAAATCTGTTAAATGCGGTGACAGTGACAAATGTTTTAAAGTTATGCACTGTTATGAGAAGTTGCGTGTCTGATGAATTATTATAGGCAACAGGCATATAGATTATTACACTGATAAACACTCTCCATCTCTCTCTTATTTGTGGAAAATCAGATCAGGAGAGATTGATTTATTATTTTGTAATCAATCACAGAGCTCTAATGCTGTCAGTTTTAATTCTCCCATATATTGGCATTGATGGACAATATTGGTTTAGAGGCTCTCCCTATCAATTATTTCTATAGTATACAGAGACTTCTTAAAAATGCTTTTAATGCAAGTTTAAATGGGTGCTTTTTATAATCCGAGTTTAAGCAATGAATCTCAGGACAGCTGGCCCTGAAAAACAGTGATCCCCCAGGACACTTTACCTACGTGTGTGTGTGTGTGTGTGTGTGTGTGTGTGTGTGTGTGTGTGTGTG